AAACTAATCAAGATTAATTTTTATTTTCAAAGGTTGTTGGGTGTAGTTTTTATTTTTCTTGTCTTTTTTTTTTGGGTTGTTGCAATTTTGAATTTTTTGAAGAATATTCTATTATGTTGTCATGGAGTATATTTTGTACTCCTTGGCAATATAAATTCTCTTTCATTTGTTGATGAAAAAAAAAACTAAATTGAACCTAAGAATTCAAGATCCTAAACTACACACAAAATATTAAAGAGAAAAGTTTAATTCTAGAGTTTGTATTTTCTTTCATTGGCAAAACTCTCAAATGGTTTTAATTAAGATTTATTTTCATATGTAATAAAAGTGACATAGTTATAATATTATGAGATATTGTAAACTTATAATATGATATAAAATTATATAATTAATTTTTTTATATGCATCTATTTATTTAATAATATATCATAATTACAATTTTATATGATATTGTAACTATAACATTAAAGATCTAATAATATAGTATCGAACCAAAGTTAACACTATCTCCTTATTATCATTTTTTTTAAAATTTTCCTGTATGTTAGGCTCTTGATTGCTTTTACTTTTTTATTTGTACTTGGCAAAAGAGTTTGAATGTAGTTGACATTATATTGACTTTTTGACTAAATATACTTCATAATTTTATCTGATAAATCAAATGCAAAAGTTGCCTCTTCTTTATCAGAATTGTGCGGCCAACTGCTTATTTTCTATTAGTCACATTTTGCTTAATTAGTTTAGTTCTTTTGTTTGGCATTCATTTTATTCGACATTCAATGTTTGACATTCATTTCATTTAACAATCAATTAATGATGCTCAGTTTGTTATTAACATAATTTTTTTAGCAAAATGTACATTTCCAACGGATCAATCAAGGGGTTGTGTTGCAAAATTTAAAACTCAGCCGTTAACAAGGAGGGAATGTGAAGAATCTTTACTACTTAAGTGCATTGTCGACGTGTCCAACGGCAGCAAGATACAAGTTTGTTACAGAAATGCCACACGTAACAAAGACATCACTACGCATGTCTTTCAAGGTGTTTCCAGCCTTTTCATATTGCATTTGAGCAAGGCTTCCAGGCACTGCCTAAGGACCCTCCAGAACAAGAAGATACGGTTTATTACAACATCTATGATCACGTGTATACTGGTGGTCACCCACTTGATCTTGATCTAGATCCAAATGTGAGACGACATGGTTTTGTATCAACAATAAGAAACAGTAAATGGCGTCCAGTTCCTAAATTTAAAGATACAAATGTAGTAGAAGCATTTCGATGCAAGATATATGCACTTGGGGGTATAATTGCCAAAGATACCTTGCAAGGAGATTACGATGATTACAAATCACAAGAAGAAATTACATTTGTGAAAGGAATTGCTCCTCAACACATACGAGCAACCCAGAAATGGAGGTCTATTAGGTGACTAATTATTCTGTTATTTCATTTTTCTTTCAAAATGAACATGAAATTAACAACTAGCTAGTAATTATTTTGCAATGAGTGTAGGGATTACCATTTTGAAATGAACAAAGAGCAGATAACATCATTTATATCAGCACTAAATTCGAAGATTTCAAGAGGAGGACTAGATTGAAATTTGTAGGAGAAATAAAGCGAGGAAAAGATCCAAATGGAAAATGGATGGATCTCGAAAGAGTAAATATCTGATGCCTTCCTCTGGTGATGGTAAGTCTTCGAGCAACTAACTGTCTTTCATGAAGAAAAAATCATTATAGCACTTCTGTGTTTGCTTGTTCATTTGACTCTAGGGTCAAATCATTAAATATTTATTTTTATGGATGTCTGATATTGAGTTAAGAGATATTTGATTGAACTGAACATCTCTTACGACTTATTTGGTAGTTTCTCTTGTTAGATTCATATGCTTGTTTAGCACTTTGTATCCCTCCAACTTGTATACCAATTTCTCTTGTTAGATTCATCAAATTTTCAAGAAATGTGCAATTTGTAGACTTGCAGTTATTTCTCATTAATTGGTGCAATTATTTCAATTTTGCTTATTTGGCTATTGATCTAGATATTTCTTATTGAAAATCATGTATTTATTATTGTGCTTATTGCCTTCATTGTTTTGTTGTTTAAATCTAACCCTTTCCAATTCCTCAATCCTCTCGGCTCATATATGGATGGTAGTAGTATATACTAGTACACAGTGAATGGTATGATTAATAGATAAAGTGATTAACATATTTTATGCCTTAAAACTTTTCTAATTTTATTCTATCTCTTTTCATTTACAGGTGGGACATATGGATGGATAAGGGATTGTTAATACTTTTTAGTGCAAGAATATGAAGATTTGGCTTGTTAGTACTTTTTGTATAGGAATATAGAGTGGTATAAGTAAATAAAATGTTGAAAGCATTGTGGAAAGTGGGTACTTTTTGATACTATCTTTATGGATGGTTTCTTTGTTAAAACATTCAACTCTATGATGTATTAAAAGATTAATTATCTCCAATGCATATTAGTACATATTATCGATTGTATTATTATTGTTGCAAATTTATATTATAAAGATAAATTATTATTTTTTGAGCATATTTGTCAAAATCCTTATTATTAAAAAAAAAAACAGATTTGCTAAATAACCATGGAATATGTTGTCATATTTTCAAAAAAATAACTACAATATTTCTTGTATTCGTAGACAACTCACATTTAAGAAAGTATAGAATAAAATAGATATACCATAATAGCGGTATCATGAACAAATAAAAAAGAAAAAATACGTCAGCTTTTTTTTTTATAAGAGTAATGATTAGAAATTAATATGTTAGAGGTGTTAGTAAGTGATATTGAACCCAAAATTTGATAGCGCAAACTACGGACTGCCCTTTGAAGCAGCAAGTAATCACTGGACCACGGCCGGTGAAATGCAAATGCGTCAGCTTTACACTAACATGTCATGTTGCTAATTCACTGTATAACAGCATTTATCGAAAAACCAGAACCACCGTTAAAGCTTTTAACGAGAAACTGTAAGGTCTTCGCTTAAAATCATTTTCCCACCTCCCATCAAAAAAAAAAAAAAAACTTTTATACCAACATTATCCCTAATTTTTAATTTTCAATACCAAAATATTCTTTCTATTAATAGAAATGTCACATGAGTTATTATCTTATTATAAAATGAATTCTTTTTTAAAATATTAATAGTATATAAAATCAAATAATTATATTTTATTATTATTGTATATTTTTATTTACATAAAAAATTGATATAAAAGTAAAATTAAAAAACTAAATTGATATTTATAATTAAAATTTAAAAACTAAGTTAGTATTTATCTTTAAAGTTTAAAGATAAGGTCAATGCTTGTCTTTGAATTTTAAAGACTATTTTAATACTAAAAATTAAAGTTTAAAAATAATTTTAATACAAATCTCAAGGTTTAGAAACCAAATTAATATTTTAACCATTTATTTTCCATGCCAACAACCTATTGATTCGAGTGGAAGGAACTCGATTCTCCTTAAATAAGATCTCAAATTTAAGTCTTATGAATAAAGAAATAGGCGTTGGTAGAGTTTTCCCTCTAATGGGATCCGACGTGACTCGATTTCAGATTAGTTGAGATTCAATATAGTTACCGAATATTGAAAGATTAATAAAAAAAAAAAACATTTATTTCCCATTCTTTCCCATGTTTAACATTCCATTACTCCTCCGCATTTAAGTGGTTGTTGTTGTTGTTTTCTTTTTTTCATTTTTCTTTTTTTTTTTTTTCCTTTGCCGTCAACATTTAAGCTTTGTTTTCTTTCTCTTGTTGGTAATGGATTTTTTTAACACATGCGCTTAATTATAGGACACAGGTTAAGTATATAATTAATATATTTTTTAATTAATAATATGAATTAATAGATAAAAAATTAATATTAATTTTAACATTAATATCATGTGTCTTAATTTAATTTGTTAATTATTAAAATTAAAATCACACCTTATTTTTTTTATGTAACTTATTGGTCAAAAAGCACATTAATTGTTTTTTTAATCTGTATTCTTAGTGCACATATTAAAAAAATCCTTTCATTATAAGGAACTCAAAATCTTAGCTTAGAACAATTAATGAAGTTTTTCTTTTTCCCCATCATTTTTAATGTTATTATTTGGTAAAGAGAAAATATATGTTCAATAAGTAATTACTAAACTACATATTAAGTAATGATAAAAAAATTGAATGATAGATTAATGATTACTTAACTACATATATATTAAGTAATTAAAAAATTGCTAAATAATTAATTGTTTGAATTAGGATAAAAAAACTAATTATTTGAGTTAATTACCTTTAAGTATGTGGGCTTTATTGTAGAGGTTGATTTAAAGGGGAACCCACTGCCTTTTAAAGATTTTAAAATACAAAATTCCAATAAGGAGTGTTATGTAAGTACCACATCATCAAATTGATAATTTTAGAATTTTCACATAATTTTTAAAATAAAAGAAAATAAATATTTCAAGACTTCACCGTCCATGTTAGGATTTAACTGATTAAAGGACTAATTTGGTGTTGAAAAATTCAAGTTTAAGGACTATTTTGGTATGGTAAATTTTACTAAGTTCAAGGATTATTTTGGTCTAAAATTAAAAGTTTGAGGACCAAATTAATGATTTAACCTTAATTGTTAGCTACGGGAAGTTTTTGAGGAAGGGATTAGACCTTTAATGACAATAAAGTGATCTTGTTTTAAGAACTTTTAATTATAGCGAAAACAATGACGAATCATGACAGTATTTGTATAGTCAACAATAAATTAATGATGGTAAATTAGCTTATAAATGATGGCAATCACTCTTGTTAAGGGATTTTTTTTGTGTGTGTAGTGAGGCCTCTTTTATTTGAGGTTTTTGTGCTGTATAATTGTAAGTATAGGTACAATTTGGATCTTTATTTTTGGCTCTTTTTAGAGAATATTTTGTTTGAGTAAATAACTTGGTGGAAACCGAAAACATTCACTTGTCACCTATCTTTATCCCTATATTGGCTATAGCCAATTAGATAAGCAACATTAATTTTGCTTGCCTATAGCCAATTAGATAAGTAGCACTGATGTTGCCTGCTTATGGCCAATTAGATAAGCAGGAACTGAAAACTATGATTGTTTAATCAAACCAAAATGTCTGCCAAAGTTATTCAGCCAAAAACCTATCTTCTAATTGTCTTCTCTCTCCATGCCTACAAATTGTCATTGGATGTTTTTGGATTTGTGTCAAGGGCACATATAACTGAAGAATCTGTTAAAATCTCGACCCATAGTAGCTAACCGTTGTTTGGGTTCTGATTTGGATGTGGACTTGAAAATACAGGTGTTTCTGTGGTTGGATAATTTCCCATATCCTTTGTTTTGTGAAGGAGAAAGGTCCCTGATAGAATTGTCACAAAACCACATAATTCTGTTACAATTTGCGATGCATTTTGGGAGGCCCAATCCTGTATTTGTAAGCAAAAAAGAGAAAAAATTTCAGAATATTCTAAAACCTGAGCTGAAACACAAATTATAATGTAAGTGTTTCATCATCACCAAACAGTGTGCTATAAAACCACAAAAGGGAGCAGAGAAACTGAAGAGCTCCATAGCTCAGAGATGTGCGCCAAAAGTTCAATGCTCAAATAAGTAAATAAAATAATACCAACTTCAACAGGCAGTTAATCACTTTTGATTATCTACTAATTTTATGCTTTAGTTCTATCCTAAAATGAGTGAAAGATTAGAAGTAACTTGTAGAGGGCATGCATACCATATACGGAATGGATGCATACTATAGGACGGCGAAAGGTGTAGATTCCTCCTCAAAATTGTTGCATTGAAAGCAAATAGCTATTTAAAAAATATATTGACGTAATTTACCATTTAAAATTTTTATTTTTAAGAAATTGATTTAAAGTTAACAATTATCATTAACTTTCCATTAAATTTCAAAAGCAATAACCTAATAGTGTTTACCAACAATCATTACATTTGACTTGATTTCTTAAAAATGAAAATTTGAGGTGGTAAATTACATCAACATTTTTTTAGATAGTAATTTGCTTCAATGCAACACTTTTGTGGGGCAATTTGCACATTTGGCCCTATAAGACAATTTTCATAATCTTTCATTACTTTACCAAAAGTGCTAAGTGAACCAAGATTGAATTTTATATTGCTTCATTCTAAAGGTAATAAACTCTTTAAATCTCCAATTTTAATGCTTTTTCTTCTTCTACAGGAAGGTGCGCTAGGCAAGTTTAAACTTTTGACGTGGAGTTACCAGACACTGCTAGTAAATAAGCTAAATAACAATGGAGAGTTATCTTCAAGCTGGACTCAAAATATTCAATTTATGTTAAATAATAATGACCAAAAAAACTTATGTTAAATAATGCAGATAGATTGCTATTAAGTATTGATATAGCACGTAAGTATTCATGATCTTTCTTTAGGCCGAGTTAAAGTCATGAAGTCTTCCCAATTATGATGTCAATGAAGTTTATTAAAGTACCATAACAAAACGGTAATTTGTGGACTTAACGGTGTTTCATAAGACATGAATTAACTTTACATATGAAATAGAAATTCCAAAAAATATATATATATATATGGAGAAGAAGATTACCTTAAACATGATCATGCTTGCAAGAATGGTGAGGGATGTAAACATAACATAGTAGACTGGAGACACAACAGCTGTATTGAAGGTGTCAAGAGCCTGTATAAGAATTCTAGATTTAGCATTTACTGTAATTGAAAAAGCATTTACTGTATTAAAGGTGCAAAATCTTTAATAATCTACCTTGTTCAAGTAGTTTATTTGCATAAGACAACAAAAAATCACAATCACTGTGAAAATCCATGTCTGGAAGTAGATAAACTGATTCATCCCTGAAAATGTAAGCTTCAGAGCTATGCTTACAGCTTTCACACTCATTACCTGCACAAAACGAAGGAATGATTTATTTTTGGAAGGTACATAATGGTTTAGAAGGAGTTTATTTAAAGTCATAATGGAAACAACATGAAGAATAACCAACAGACCGTAAGAGAACCCATCAGAGAGCAGACTCCGACATAAACTATCAGATGGGTTTTTCCATAGCGTGGAATATAACGAAAGATAAGTACAGCAACCAGAATCACAACTACAAAAGTATAGACAAGAAAGCCTGCCACAACAAAAATGTTTCATATTAGCCTTGACAAACAGAAATGATAAGAATAAAAGATAAGGCAAGACAATATTGAACATCCAGAATTAATTAGTCAGAAAATTAGAATCATATCTTTTTAGACCACAAATCTGCAGTAATAGCCATGGAGCTCCTGAAATAATACCTGGCTCTGTGGCAAGGGTCCAAACTTGTTTAACAGATTCAATATCTTTCTCCTGTGGAGCATGTAAAACAATACTTATCGAGCCAACCACACAGAGAACACATCCTAGAACTCCAAATATATGCAATTTCTCCTTCAAGATAAAATGTGCTAGCACTGCACTGCATAACAAATGGTTTCTCATAAAATTATTCAGATCTACATCTAAGCCAGCAGTGGGCGCAGATGTGTCTCTATATGCCTATCCACAAGCCTACATATATCTACCAATACAGTGGTAAAGTAGTGGTAAAGTAAGCAATACCTGAAGATGATACTTAAGGCCCCTAGCGGGGTTACAAGAATTGCAGGGGCATATGCATAAGCAGCAAAATTAGCTATCTCTCCAACAATCACTGCAAAAGCAAAATAACTCAGCATCAACATGGCTAACCTTAAAAGTTATTATTTATTTATTTATTTTTATTTCATCATAAAAAAGTAAAGGAAATTTTTTCTCAAATTTTCTTTTCTTGTGTTCCCACATAAGATCGCACAATAAACACAACACAGCGATTGACATGCCTGACCATGCACCACAGAGGAATATCACACTAAACATAACATGGGGATCCACATGCTGGATCATGCACCACATAGGAATGTGAAATGCAGGATAATGAACATAAAATTCACAACTTTCACCAGAAGGAAAAAAAATCTGGGAACTTACTCATTATCATTCCAGCCCACCACCATGGTTCATACAAGTATGAATAGCCTCCAGAAGCTGCTTGCATTAAAGACACAAATTCAATTACCCAAAAATGAAACGTTCACCATATATACTAATAATTAAAGGGTCAGCAAATGGCGCATGATCATAAATTCCACTTCTAAGATGGAATATAACGAGGGAAGAGAGGCAAACTACCAGCTCTGATTCCGTTGGTCCCAGATTTTATAAGACCCTTCTTCTTAATAATAAAGCTAGAACCAATAAAAACGCTGGAGGAGACGGCCAAGATGAGTCCACGGACATTGTCTATTGATATCCCCATTGTTGAGAGAATAGAGGATTGGAATCAAAAACATCAAAATTTTGCAGGGCCAAGACTTGAAATCCCAATCCCTACATCCATCCAACAAAACGGTGACCCAGAAACAAGCACAAAATGAAGAGTTCAATATGACATCAAATGAATTTGTGTGATTGTACCTCAGGTAAGTTCTTGGCACGCTGCTGAGGACAATGGAGGCTAAAAACCCAGGTTCGGCATATCAAGAGGAAGAGGATTTGATGGAGAATGAAAGGGTAGATTTCATGAAAATGGAAAGGGGAGATGGGGAGGGAGGGGCGCACAGAGAGAGACAGAGAGAGAGAGAGAGAGAGAGAGCTGCAAACGGTAAGGCCGTTACTCAAGCATAAGAGAAACGAATAGGAAACAGGGCCACAATTTAAGATCACACCCGAATCCCGCGTCCTTCTCTTAACAATTTATTTATTATTTAATTAATTTTTTATTAAAAATTGGTGCTTAGTCAGTTTATTTTTTATCTTTTAAAAATAAAAACAAATTTTAATAAAATATTATTAAAAAATAAAAAACATTAATTCACAACAGGGCCACAATTTAAGATCACACCCGAATCCCGCGTCCTTCTCTTAACAATTTATTTATTATTTAATTAATTTTTTATTAAAAATTGGTGCT